GGGGGAGGGGGAGATGGTGGGGTGGGGGAGGCCAGGGTGCCCCTATCTGCGCCACTCTGTGACAGCTACATCTTGCTACAGATCCCTAACGCGCCGTGGTCCATCACGTTCTGTAGAAAGCTTCGTGTGAAGATTCACGTTTGATAAATATCAGCTACAAGGAAACCTTGTGAAGAAAATCCAATTTGATGTTTTACCCGTGTGAGGGGGGGACACCCAGCTCTGGTGAGCGGGCCCTGTCACGTTTGTGCAAATCTGCGCCCTCGCTCTGCTCATGCTGCCTCCCGTTGGCACTTGGCATGGGTGGCTGCCATGGCTCATCCCGTGGAGGAACCTCTGTTGGAGTAAAAGGTCCAATCTGGCCTACCCCCGTGCTCTTGTGCATATCCCAAGTACCACACCCTAAGTACTCTACCAAAGCACCCTAAGTACCACAGTGCACTTCCTGCTCCCCACTTCTCCCCCATCCCAGCACCATCCAAGCGCCACAAATCCACTGCTTCACACTCCCTCCCTGTTCCTCCCCAAGCCTGAACATCTGGGAACAGCTGATTTGCAGCGTTCCAGCTCTGGAAGGGAGGAGGAGGACTAGGATGTGCAGGACTCCGGTGCCCTCGTGAGTGAGAGGCAGGTGGGAGAGAAGGGCAGACGGGGGCCTGTGGGCCGCAGGCAGAACCCCAGTGGATTGCAGGCCACCCACCACTGCCTTACCTGGGCCTGCTTGTGTTTCTGGGTTGTAACCCAGGGACCCTACGATCAGCAGACGTGTTGCTTTGTATCCTGCAAGTTGCTGCAGAGCCCTGGCTCCTTGCTGGCACGGCCCCTTCCACCTCATTTTCAGCTCAGGGCTGAAGTTCTTCCTTGTGGAACGTGTCACCAGAACCCGTCTTCCGGCTCCTGCATAAGCGCCCAGGAGCACCTGCCTTGCTCCTCTAGTCCCCACCAGGAACAGACTCGCTCAGGCCCTACAGCACCTTGCCCCTGACCCTGGTGTGCTCGATTCGCTGTTCCCAGCAGCCTTTCGAGGTGGGCCTGGACCACCCCCCTTGACAGCTGCTCTTCTGCTGCTCTTCTGGGTGTTTAGGACCCAAGGTCTTCAGCAAGGGGCCTCACTGGGCCCAGGATAGTCACTGTCTCTTCAACACTGTCCAGGGAAGCCAGGTCTAAGGATGAATCCCAACTCTTGTGGCTGGAACAGATGAAGGACAAACCCTCGCTGCCACACAGGCTTGTGTAAGGGAGAGATGATTGTTGCAGTGCAATGACTCCTTCATGACTCTGGGTGGTATCTAAGCCTCCTTTTGAGTCTGAGGCCACTGCAAGCTGCTCCTGAGTCAGAGACCAACATTACACAGACAAACGGACCCGGAGAGAGTCGTCCTGTTGAAATGACAGCCTGATCCAACGCTATTGGACAGGATGGACCATTGGTTTGACCCAGTATGGCCGTTCTTAAATTCTTATGTACTCTCCATGTGTCTTGAAACTGCCTCAGATCATTGCCCAGTATGGAAATCACATAAATGTTAATGGTAAATTAAGAGAATAAATGCACCTGTTTATAACTGG